GGTTATGTAGGAGATGACAAGGCAACTGCTGAGACCTTGGACTCAGCCGGGTGGTTGAAGACTGGTGATCTTTGTTTCTTTGATGATGAGGGGTTCCTCTACATTGTTGACAGGTTAAAGGAATTGATCAAGTACAAGGGCTATCAGGTGATTGCAAGAGAGATCCTTTGAGAGTTAAACTCATAACAAAGATGGTTGTATAAGTATGTGATCAGTCCATTTGAGTAATGTGTTGTTTGGTCTCTCTATGTCTGGAACAAATTGCAGGTACCCCCGGCTGAGTTGGAACCTATACTTCAGTCCCATCCCAACATTGCTGATGCCGCTGTGATTCCGTATGTATCTAGTACTATGACATTCTCTGCTTGTGAAAAGCTAGTTTCTTTCCTGGCATCAATCTATCAATTGACGACTTTAATCGCTTATTTGTCACTTTTGAAATTTTTTAGAAGTATTTAGCTGGGAAAGGAAACTGGTCCATAGAAAAACAAAAAACAAAAGAAATTCAAGAACTTATGAGATCATTGAAGAAAATTTTGACAGATATTTTGCCAATTAGTTTGCCTTTGTGATGAAATCTGGTGTTTTGCCTCCACTTTCTTGCATAGTTAGTGTCATGGTTACATGGTAGAAGATCATAGTTTCTGAAAGAATTTGCAGTATGTTTCATGTATCTGTTTACCTCCTCAAGGTATACTAGTTCTGATTTCTGCCCGTTGGCGTTTCTGAAGCAGGTATCCTGATGAAGAAGCAGGGCAGATTCCCATGGCCTATGTAGTTAGAAAGCCTGGAAGCAATATCACTGAGGCTGCAGTCATGGATTTTGTTGCAAAACAAGTATGCTCCTGAATACTTGTAAAAAGTCCAATTGATTCTTTTCATAATTAACATCCATACTTCCAGTTCTCTTGAAGTTGTATGTTACAGGCCATCATATAGAAGTTGGTTTGTTATTTCAGGTTGCACCCTACAAGAAGATTCGACGCGTATCGTTTATCAACTCCATTCCGAAATCTCCGGCAGGAAAGATCCTGAGGAGGGAGCTCGTTAGTCATGCTCTATCTAGCCATTCATCTAAATTATGATCTACTTCTTCAAACAAAGGAAAGCTTGCTGAGCATTGCATTCCAATTCAACATATCAACTTGTTCATGTTCTTTAGCATGTATATAAGTGCAATCGATCTTGGAAGTCACAGTTGTTATGTTTCCGATCAGAGAATTCGACCGTGTAAAGCCTTTTATAAGATAAACCTATGTTTAAGCCTAATTGAAATCTGGCCGGGTGAAGCACAACCTTTCCACACATTATTTGTTTTTGTTTTGTGTCCACGTTATTTATGTTTACTGTATATCTACTGTGAGAGAGTTTGAAATTCATCATTCAATCAAGATCCTTGATGCACTTGTTTCCCTAGTAAGTGTTTTTGCTTATGTTGTATTCTGAATGTAATATACGTACTACCAGAGACTTGTTACCATTATTGTTCTCATGGATCTACCATGATACCTTTTGTCACATAAATTAAATGGCTATCAAACTAATTTCCTCATTTATCATAATATGGTATCGCCGCGCGGCTATTCTCTTAAATATTCTATTTATAGAATATAGATTTGTTTCTGGGAAAATGGTTAATAATAGTCCTACAACTGAACATCAACTTAATGGACGAAGAAGCAATGAAATACCGCATTACATTCCATTTGGACATTCTTCTATTGCACTAATCTGTCACAACCACAAGAAAAATGTGTGAGGCATGCCTGCTTTCTAATTTAAATAGTATGGCCGCCCGGCTATACTTTTACAATATTCATATACTTTAAAAAATTTCTATTCAAAGTGTGTAGCCGCATGGCTGTACTGTTAAAATATTCTGCTTATAGATTATAGCCGAACGGCTATACTATTACAATATTCTATTTATAGTGTATAGCCGTTCGGCCATACGTTTAAAATATTCTATTTATAGGGTATAGCCGTGCGGCTAGACGGTTAAAATATTATCTTGTGGCTGGCATTTCTCTTGTTTGTATTTCTTACAACCCCAGAAAGTATGGCATACGGAGGTTCTTGTTCGTGGATAGGTATCACAGTCATAAGCTTCAGTACCGTGATGAATATATACAAAAGATCAATGTGAGTTTGGTAATACCCATAGCTCCCTTATTTAAACAGTATAAACGGGCGGCTGTACTTTCTAAATACATTCGAACATTTTAACAGTATAAATACTAATATATTCGAATATTTTAAGAGTATAGCCGGGCGGCTATACTCTTTAAATATATAGATATTTATAAAAATACCCAATCCTAGACATGTATTTATAAAAATACCCAAGCACTATTTAAACATAGAAACATACCCAAAATGGGTTTTGGGTATGTGTGTAATGATGGGTTTTGGGTATGTTTATAAATGGATTTTGAGTGTGTGTAATGATGAGTTTTTGGTATGTTTATAAAGTGTTTTGGGTGTTGGGTATTTTTATAATTTCAGCCCCCATTTTGGGTATTTTAGTGAAACTCCCTTAAATATATTCGTAACGAACACGAAGCTCTCGCAGAGTACGGATCGCAGTCACAGCCATTCCGCTTCTCCATCAACTCAAGCTTCGATTTCTTCGGTTTCGGCAGCTTCATCCTCCGGGTTCAGCACCGAAAAAAGACCCAACCCGCCTAGGAGGCCCGCCTGCCGCCTAGCGCCTGCCTAGCCGCCTAGGCCTATTTTTGGAACCCTGCGATTGACTGAAAGTCTGAAACCCGAAATTAAAAAAATTTAGCTGTAAATTTGAGCATGTCATTGATGGATTAATTGGCTATATTTCAGGGGAAGAAATGTACTAGATACCCTGGGGGATGTTTGTGGAAGCGGATCGAATAGATCGTTGTGTCACTGATGGAAATCTGGTTACTACAGCAGCGTGGCGTGGCCAACCAGAACTTGTATGCTCTGATTCTGCTTTTACATTCCTAGCAAATGATCCCACCTAATAGGATGCCTTCACCATCTCCTTGTGTTGATGGATAAAGTGTTTTCACTCAAGCCACCCAAACTCATTCTCAACTCTTAAGATAGTTTCTTCTCCACTTCAATTTTATGAACCATTCATGTAAATATCAACAGTTATGCAGTATTATTGAATACTAAAGATTTAAAGTACTTCAAATGTTTGGCTCTTTCTTTTTATTTTCAATCTAAAACTACTTCAGACAGGTTATGGATAGGCTTCTAAAACTACCTCAACATCCTCAACTACTTCAGACAGGTATGATCAATTTCTTTTTATTTTGTTGAGATGTGCTAAACATGCTAGTAAATATCATGTGGAAGCTGTGGCAGATGCAATCCAAAGACTTTGGCCTGAAATTACATCTAGAGAGAGAAAGAGAGAGCTGAAATTTCCATTGATGATCAAGACAACTAGTCTGGAATGCGTAGAATAACAAGTGCCAGCAAACGTTTTGCAAACAAGAGAAAGGAAAAAATAAAAACGGAAGAAACATGTAATTGGAATATGGTAATATTTCTTAAACAATTCGTATATATTTATATAGTATAGCCTTGCGGCTATACGTATAAAATATTCTATTTACAGAGTATAGCCGGGCCGGCTATACTTATAAAACATTCTATTTACAGATTATAGCCGCGCGGCTATAAAGTTAAAATGTTCTATTTGCAGAGTATAGCCGCGCGGCTATACGTTTAAAAAAATATATATATATATATATATAACAATGCATTGCACCAACAATGAAACAGAGTTACCTACCAAGACCAACACACCAAGGTAAATCTATCGATCCTTCAAAGCAAACTGCCAAGCCAACAATGGTTGCGTTCAAACTATAGAAGATCTCAGAACCTGGGACCTAACATAAAAGAAATAATTAAGCTATTACAACCCTTAATTATCAACAAATGAAAAGCTATACGGAACAAAAGTAATCACCACTAAGCACTCCCTTAAAATGTTGTAAATAACCGTACAGAAAACACAGCTATAATGTTGTAAAAGACACCAAGATTTTAAAATTTCCAGAACCTGCAAGGAGTTGATCAATAGTCAGAACTTAGAACTAATCTGGCATTCTGGCAATGCAGATGTCTAACCTTAATGGTAGAGATTGGGACTTCATAAGGAGGATGAGAGACCAAAGCATGAGCTAGTTCTTTCAATAAGCACTCCTATTGAAAGAGTCCTGACGAGCTGAATTGATTTAGCATCCCGTATATCATGATCCTCATCTAACCAGAATGCCCCGCATGGTAGGGTAGATTCTTACTCTCGGCATATATGTTTATTTTGACAACATGGGTACCATGCGGCATATACTCTACCATGCGGGGCATTTTGTTATGCAATATATCATTTATATACTCTAGCTAGAGGCCATATACTTCAACATATCCACCAATATATCATGTATATAAATGCAATCTTTGAAGTCACAGTTGTTATGTTTCTGATCAGAATTCGAGATAGTTTGAAATTCATCATTCAATTCAATCCAGACCCTTTTGTGCTTGATGCACTGTCTGTACCTCCACAACAAGAGGTGGCTCCCACGCGAGATACGCATTTTCCTGTTTGGGTCATATCCATTTATAAATTGGATGTAGACTTGATGTCAGAAATGTCCCAGACCGTTAGGTAAGTTAGGTTGGTTGGTGATGCTTCGGTCCAACTTGTCAACTACGCAAATTTACATAATAAACCACTGAATGATGTAAATGGCATAAACCACTGATTACCAAATTATATATAATTGGTCCAAAAGGCTAACTTTGACTGTCAGGTAATTTTATTACTTATTTTTCACGTCTTCTTCGGATGACGCAATCCAAGCAGCACACTGAATTTTTGTGGTGTTTAGTATTATTATTTAATTACTTCACTTATTAATTTTCCAATCCCCTTTGGATTAGAGAGCTTCTAATCTATCAAATATTAGTAAAATAAACCTTGGGGTGGGGGAGAGAATGTGAATTTCGTGAAACTCCTTGACCCTTGGACATTCTCCCATATGTGTATGTAGACTGCATAATGTGAAAATCATGCTGATTAGCTGACTAAAAGGCAAAAGTAGCAAATCCAGTATCGAATCTCCATTAAAATACCATAAAGTGGTACTAGAATTTTCTGCATAAAAACTCACGCACAGCCAAGCCCCATCAGTCTGGCTTTGTCTACTTCTATTGTGACTTGCAGTTACAGAAAGCAATCTCAACATTCCCCAAACCTTGTTCATATGCTTAACTCAAAACTACAGAACAGAAAAACCCATTTCTCAGATTTCATTTCTCTTTCCTCTGTTCTTCATAGAATCAGTGCCCATATGAAGGCACACATGGAAACACTGATTTGAACAAAACCCATCTCAGACCAACCATTCAAATTTGTTTTTCACTCACTTTTCCTTCACTTTATGGCAACCCCAAACTCACAAACAACTCAAACTCCATTGATAGATGCATCACAAACACAAACAAACCCTAGTGATGATGATGATGCCAAACTTGATCACTCTCTCAACAGCTTGGTGACCTTTCTCAGGCTCTTTGGGTTTTGCCAATACTCTTTTCTGAGCTTCAGCCTCTCATGGCTTGCTTTCCTTCTTGTGGGTGTTGCACTTCCAGTGGTACTCATTGAAGTCTCTTATAGTTCCAGCAGTGAGAAGTATCAGATCAAAAATTTTGAGCTTCAGATTCTGATTTCTGAGTCTCTTGTGGCTGCCATTTCTCTTGTTTGTATTTCTTACAACCTCAGAAAGTATGGCATACGGAGGTTCTTGTTCGTGGATAGGTATCATGGTCATAAGCTTCAGTACCGTGAGGAATATATACAGAAGATCAATGTGAGTTTGGAAACAATACCCATAGCTCCCTTATTTAATTTTTTTCCTTTTCATTTTATGCTTGTGACCTTTATGTTTCTACCTGAGTAATTCTACTGTTGGGGGATAAAATTAAATTTTATGCAAATAGTTGGTTGAAGTAATTGTATGTATTGGCTAGTTGAGTTGATGTAAAAATCAATTTTAGTTGAAAACAGAACCTGAAACTTAAATTAACAAATACTTTTACTACAAGTTACTGTCAGTTTCTCCCTTTGACTCACTCTGTATCTTGCACTTGGCTGAAGTTTTAGCTCTCAAACCTTCTTCAAGACTCTGAAGTTTGGCACAAATTTTCCATCTTGCTTTGATGTGCTAATTCCAATGAACTATTTTGGGAACATCTTGTTTCCATTATGTATTATAGCTAATACAGCAGTGAGATCATAATTTTGTACATCCCACTTCTTCAGAACTTCTTCCGCTTGCTGGCAGTGTGGGTATTGCCTTTCCTCCTTCTGAAGACTGCTCGTGAAGTCACTCGCGTAATTTATGTTCACTACGATTCATGGTGGAAATCTGTTCTTGCATTGCTTGCTTTGCTTGTGTCATGGACGTTTTCAACTATAATTTTCCTATCAGGCAGTGCTTTGTTCAACTTGGTGTGCAGTTTGCAAGTGATACACTTTGAGAACTATGGGAAGCTTTTGGAAAGGGACATGGATGTTTCTGCGTATATCGAAGAACACACTCGTCTAACGCAGTATGTATCCAAGATTAGCCACAGATTCCGAATCTATCTTATTTTTCAAATTTTAGTTGTGACAGGCAGCCAAGTTGTGGCTCTACTGCAGACCACAGGAAATCACGGAATCGTCAATCTCATCAACGGAGGCGATTTTGCAGTAAGTTCAGAACAATATGCTTCATGTTTCACATGGATCTCAAAGAGATTGAACTATTTTTTTGGCCATACAAGCATATTCAACTTAGCTAGATCAAACTTTTGCTATCCCCTTCCCCACTAAGAAATTTGATCTCATAATGTGGTTGTGACTGGTTTTGATGAATAAAGTGCTCAACTGAATCACTTGACATATATGCCTTTCTTCTTGTTTTCTTGTCTTCTAATACTGTCAGAGGGATAGGCTTTGGATTTACAGTTCTAACTTCCTCAAGCTATACTTAGTATCACTTGATTATCACTATTGCAGGTCTGCTCTATTGTTGAGCTTGTTGGGTTAATTATATGCCTGCATGGGGCTACAAAGATTTCACACAGAGCTCAAGGTCTTGCATCAGTTACTAGCAGATGGCATGCTGTGGTCACCTGCAGCTCCAACGATGCATCTCAATCGAGATTCGACAACAGTTCGGGAAACTTGGAGATTGCTTATTCTGCTGGTTCATTACCCATAACCTACTCAGAAAGCGATCTAGAGTCAGTTGATTATGTGCCAGTGCCGACAAGTACACAAATAGCTTCATACAAGTCCCTCTATCAGAAAAGACAAGCTTTTGGTATGTCCGCAAGATCAACAGAAATCTTGTAACTTGATGGAATGCTTTGATGCATTGCTGATCTTGGCTTTTGTGTTTTTCTTTCACGTTTAACAAGTTTGTCCTGCTTTCAGTTACGTACATGCAATCAAATCCGGGTGGGCTTACCATCTACGGCTATACGGTGGATCGGGCGCTCGTTGGCACCGTCTTCTTTCTTGAGTTCTCACTGGCTCTCTTTGTGCTGGGGAAGACAATTACCTTCACCACCAAATGATTTTATGAGCACTCACTCTTTCGGCAGCTGACTACTCGCTTGTGATGCGTTTAAGGGGCAGACTGGCTGCAATAGACTCTCTGCTGTATTTCAGAGGCAGAAATTTCACTGGGCGCTATAGCATTTACTTTTTACCAAGGACTTCATTTACTTAGGGTAAACAAAGGCTCAGAGATGTGAGATTATTTTTCTGATGAACAAATGTCATGGTTTGATTAGACGATTTTATTGTTTTTTTCTTTTCACAGAGGCTTGGTCACTTGATAGCTGCACATTTTTCTTTGATCCCTATACTTTACGCACAAGCCGTTTTGATACCTATTCAAAAATTTACCAAATCCATTCAGCCCCAACCTTTGTCGAAGGACTTAAACAGACCAAAAAAAATTCATGGGACAAAGCACAAAATATACGACAACTAGTTAAAATACCCCAAAGATCATCTAAATTCAGTCAGAAACATCTGCAGTGCTAGAATTGGAAAAGAAAATGGGTAGTATGATGAGATGTCCTTCGTAGCACAAGAAAAGTTACTGCTGGTTTAGTATTATTACTCAATATGAAATACAGATGTTGCAAACTTGAAAATTACAGCTGCTTTTAGGTATGAAATACAAATATAGCACACTGCCACGCTCAGATTTTCGCTACTTATCTGTAATCCAAAAGAATTTGCAGGATAAAAGTTTAGTTAAAGAAAAAAAATTGCATGCAAAATCAAACTGGATCTCCAGTGCTCTGAAGATATTTGGGGGAAAAACACAACTTAAAAACAGAAACCTTGGACATTATAATCTTTACCATTAGATGGTAGTTCCCTCATGGCTGATCACGCTGCGAATTCATACAGGCTATCAAGAGGCCCTGGCTTGCAAATTTTAACATTGATCTTATGTGGCCAAGACAAAAATTGAAACATGTCAATAGACATCGACTATAGCAATTCAACCCGTACATCTTCAACCTAGAGTGGTTTCAGAAAAGAAAGGTATGAACTTGAATTTGTTTTGTCATCAATTTTCAACTTTCATTATGATTTCACAATTAGATTTTTTGATTTAAAAGTGCCACCTTGTAGCAGGATCACAAAATAAATGGGAGGTTGGACAAAAGGGCAAACCCTTACTCTTCATCATCATAATTTTCTACTGATATAGCAAAAGATTGAAGTACAATGCAAAAACTAGAGATGCCTATGTTCACTCCCCGTGGCGAAAAATATAATAGCAGCCGTTAGATTCACACATAAGTACAAAATAAATAAAAAGCAACAACCTTACCAGCCAATCGGTCTAGCTGCAGGCAAGCAAAACTCTCCATTTGTAATAGCAAGCTAATTCCTAACCGAAGAATGCACATGGGAAGATCCAAGTCAAAAGTAAAAATTAACCAAATGAAGGAAACGCAAAGTAAGAAACACAAAATTTACAATAAGACACAGAAGCATAATATAAGTTTACAACCACATTGTCCTGGCAAGCAACACTACTTAGACAATGAAACTGACCTGCACTATCAACTTACAGTGCGCACACGTATGCACATGAGAAGGAATACAAACATGGAACGACTTCTAATTGGGAGAATTCCATCGATGCAAGAATGAAACCTCCTAGCAGCAGTCATTGCATATTCCAAAATTGTATTCTTTTATTCATGTATTTGAAGTGGTCTAGATATAACTTGCATTTCACTAATAAACTAAAGTAATTCTTTTACTCTGAACTTGAAGACAAAGAAAAAAAAATCCAGCATTTTAATTATATATTTGCTGAATGGAGTATAAACAGACAATGGCCTAACATAGGATAACCATAAGCTAAGCATTGGGGGCAGAGCATCATGATCGAAGAAAACATGGATAATTGGATACACCACAATACAAGCAACCAGCAATACATGTAAAAGACTGGATACACCTCAAAAGCCATTGTGTGCAGTAAAATAACTTACGTTTGGGAAAATTCCTGTCCTTCAAGTGCGAAATGCCAATAACACCCTCCCATTCTTTTAAGGCCCAGAATCTCTTGCAAATAAAAGTATAAAGCATGAATAAAGAGAAAACAACAGGTTTTACATAAAAATAGTGAAGAACTTGGAATAGAAACAATATGATTCAATTATGTACAAAGACTGCACCACTATGCTGCTCTTAAAAGGATAAACCATTACTGCCCACCGACTCTCCATGCAACTCCCTTGCTGTAGCTATCCTAAAGGGCCCTACAGTCACGTGTTGTGCTTTGCAGCTGCCTAATGGTCAGGTTAGCAAAATTTGAAGAACTGCCATAAAAAAGGCTAAGATTATTGCTTAAATTTTTCTCACACTGCCTGCTGTTTAGGTACCGGTCTTGAATGCTGATCAGGAGTAATTGGCTTGAAATCATATCTCGGTTCGGGGGACTCACGAAACCAGTTATGGTTGAGAGCATCCTTTGCTGTTATTCGCTCCGCAGGGTTATATGATAGGAGCCGCTTCAACAGATCAAACCCCGATTCAGAGAGCACTGGGGATGATCCAGTGAAAGATGCAGCAGGAAATTTCTTGCGCAGATGATTGTAGCACCTGAAAAAGATTCAGAAACTATTAGAATGATAGCTAAACAGTGAAAACGAGTAATAAAATGATCTGCAGGTAAGAATAAACTCATTAAAATTAAAATAGAAGAAAGAAACTTACGGTTGTTTGACAGAATTAACTTTGAAGCCTGGCAATTTGGATAATCCACTTTTCTCATCTGGTGTACCAAGCATTCTGAAGATCTGCAAACATTTTAGTGAAACACATCATGAAACGATCAAGGAAAAATTAGAAATAAAATAGCTTAAGTAACATGGAACAAAACAAACCTTATCAATCTGATCAACTTCAGTTTTCCCTTTGAACAGTGCGTCCTTCGCCAACAATTCAGCCATTATGCAACCAACTGACCACATATCAATTGCTGTAGAGTACTGTTTTGTACCTAATAGAATTTCAGGTGCCCTGCACAGTAGAACAATACACAATCACTTCAAGTTGCCCAATTAATGTGTAGTTCTGGTCTAAAAGATACTAACAGAAAAAATATAATAAATTGACCACTTCAATACTGAGTAGAGTGAAGCTCACCTGTACCACAGAGTGACAACCAAAGGAGTATATGGCTTCAGTGGACTCCCATACTGGCGTGACAACCCCAAGTCACATATTTTCAACTCACCCTCCTTGTTCACAAGGAGATTTGATGATTTCAGATCTCTGTGAAGGACCCAATTGTCATGAAGATACTCTACACCGTTCAAAAGTTGTAGCATCAAGTACTTTACTTCACCTATACTAAATGGCTGTTTCATAGACTCCATTAGCCCCTTGAGGTCATATTCCATATACTCCATGACCATATAAACACCATCAAAGTCGTCCATAACAACTTCCTTAACACCTACAACTGAAGGGTGATTAAAAGACAAAAGAATGTTTATTTCTCTCAATGCTGACATTGGGAAACCATCACAACCCTTATCAACATCCATCTTCACCTTCTTTAATGCTACAATTTCTCCAGTCTTTTTATCTCTGGCTCTATAGACAACACCATATGTGCCTTCATTTATTTTGTTGAGTTTTTCATACTCAAACACACTTCTGCAACCCTGAAGCATGTTTATGCTTCCTTGCATAGGCACCGCAGGCTCTTCAATCTTAGGAAGATCAACATCATCCTCTGAATCAGACTCTGAATCAGAGTACAACTGGTTAATGGCAACGCCAGCATTCCCATCATGTTTATCAATATTCATGTTTTTGTCACATAACTCGTCTTCTCCATAATATTTTTCTCCAGGCGTCTCAAAGCTGCTTTCTTCGTCAGAGCTAGAAACTCTGGTCCGGCTCCCTCCCGAGCCTTCTCTTTGGATCTCCCCACTTTCAGGCGAACTGCATGGGTCATCAGCGATATCCCTTGGAGCCCTTGGAGAATCACTATCAGATGCCCATCTTGAGAATGAGATGTTGGGTGGATGGACCATGTTTTTTTTAGCCTGCTCATCTTGCCCGGACTGCTCAGAATGCAGCTGTGTAGACAAATCAGCAGGGGCCTCCGATTGACAACTACCCTCCAAATAATCTGCCACAGAAGATTCAAAGACCTCCACTTCCTGAGACTTAACCACTGTAACTGGAGACTTTGAAACAACCCCATCAAAAAGAACGTTCTGAACTGAGGTTGGATGAGCAGGGGACGGAGGAATAACTGGAACAACTCTATTCTTTGATGAGACTCTCACTTGCTTCTCTTCTCTGTCCCATATAATAGGAGAAAACTTCCTCTTCTTCTCAGGAGGCAATTGAACCAAACATTCACTCTTTCGGGTTTTGCCATTCCTAGAACACGGTTCTGAGGAATTTGACGACCGTTCAGACCCTCCTGAATTGTGCACATTGGAAGGTAAATGGAATCCATTCTTATGTTTGACGCCATCACCTCGACAAACCCCATTCCTATAAGATTCAAATTCTCTTTTGGAATAATTATAAGAATCCCTTCTCCTCAAAACATCGACTCGCCCTGTCGCCATATGATTAACAATCTCTTCTAAATCAGTGATCAAACTCAACAATCAAAATCAAAACAGAAAACCCCAATCAATTTTCAAAACCCTAAACCCCCAAAAGTCAATAATTTAGTTGGTTCAAACCCTAGCCAATCCAAACCAAAATAACAAATTGAATCTTTTTTTTTCCGAGCAAACCCAAGATCAATCAGCACAGAAACACAGAACACAGAACACAAAATATTCAATTACAAAATCACAAACAGATAGGCAAATCGGCGAATAACAAACGAAGATCGTGAGCAAATACCCTAGACCTCGATTTCTGTGAGACCCTTGAGAAATTCACAGGTATCGGAAGGCCTTACCGGCAAGAGATCGCTAACAGAGAGAAACGAAATCGCAACGGCAATGAGAAGGCCAACAACACCGATCAGCCTCCAAGGTGCTTCGCTTTTACGCGTTTAGATAGCCTGCCCTCTGACTTTGCGTGCTATCTTATATATTTATATCCTTTGGCGTCGGTTTGGAAACCGCGTGGTACGTGTATTTTTTGGGCCCTTTTCCTTTTTGTTATGGGAAATATTTATTTTCCTTTTTATTCTGGGAAACTTTATTTTCCTTTTTGGTGGTGTTTATGTTTCTGGGCCTAAAAATTATTTCACAGGGTTTTTAACATTGAGCCTGCCTGCCCATATTATGGATACAAATTCAGGCCCTTTGGGCCTTTTTTTTTTAACGAAACTAATGAAAATCTGTATAGAAACCCATAAGCTATTCGGCCCTTTGGGCCAATTTGTACTCCTATCCGAAAAGAATAGATCATGTTGATGAATTAACACGACTCCATCCTAACACGAAATTTAATCACCATTGCTTGCTTGCTTAATATATATTATGTTATGCTTTAATCATCATTTCTTGCTTGCTTACTTGACATAAATTTGAATATGTCGAGATTTACTGACACGAATAATTAACGAGTCAATCTACTACTAATCATGAATAACCCACGCATTAACAAATTAAATAGAGAAATAGAACCAACACAAGCAAGACCAATAACACAAATTGCAAACACCTATGAGTTTGACGTGAAGGTCCAATGACCCTAGAGCCCGGTGGCATAGTCGTACTAATCCTCTCATCAATTTCCCACCCCAAGGCAGGCACATAATTCAAAGAAACCGCCCCCTCTCCTTATCCTCCTCATCTTCATGAATAAGTTGCATCACAACCAGCTCACCATACGCACATAATGCCATGCACCGCCTACATCAGGATCAAGCCCATAACGATAATGCTCTACAAACCTATCTTTTTGGTCACGCCTCTATATAACGTATCTATCACCACACCTCCTCTTACAAGCATAGCATTTAGTTTTATTAGCCGAAGGAAAAAGAAGAAAAAAAACGAAAATGATGGGAGTTGGCACAAATGGGTACACTGCACCAGCCACCAGGAAGAGTAGTGGTGGTGGTGCAGGCTACGATGTTCCTGAAGGGGTCGAAATCCGGGGACGGTTCGATGAAGAATTTGCCAAGATTCTGACCAAGGAGGCTTTGGAATTTGTGGTGGAGTTGCAGAGGGAGTTTAGGAACCGGATTAAGTATGCATTGGAGTGTAGGAAGGAAGCTAAGAGGAGGTACAATGAGGGGGTTGTGCCTGGGTTTGATCCAGCTACCAAGTTCATTAGGGAAACAAATTGGGTTTGTGCACCTGTCCCACCAGCTGTGGCTGATCGGAGGGTGGAGATTACAGGACCTGTGGAGAGGAAGATGATTATCAACGCTCTCAATTCTGGAGCCAAAGTTTTCATGGTCAGTATTATTAATTAATTTTTATTTTCCCTTTTTGCTAGCACGTCTTGCACTCTTCCGTCACCCTGGAGTCATGAGAGAAATTTTTGTGTGTCACCGTAACACTATGTAGCGTGATTCATCTAAATTCTAAATTATAACATAGATATTTTTCTAACATATACGGGCTCAATTTTATAAATCTCATCTTTAATGTGACATGTGAGTCGTGACCGATAAATGTTGTACAAATAATTTTATAGGCACAAATGAAAATGGTTCTTGTCCATGTAGGCTGACTTTGAAGATGCACTGTCACCAACTTGGGAGAATCTAATGAGAGGCCAAGTGAATCTGAAGGATGCTGTTGATGGGAGCATAACCTTTCATGACAAGGCCAGAAACAGAGTTTACAAGCTGAATGACAAAAACACAGCCAAGCTTTTTGTGCGTCCAAGAGGATGGCACTTGCCCGAGGCTCACATTTTAATTGATGGTGAACCTGCAACTGGTTGCCTTGTGGACTTTGGCCTTTATTTCTTCCACAACTATGCAGCCTTCCGCCAAACCCAAGGTGCAGGGTTTGGCCCTTTCTTCTATCTCCCTAAAATGGAGAATTCAAGGTAACCAATGACTTATCCCTAAAAGTTTAATCTCTCTGTTTATCTATCTAATTTGGAAGATGCATGAAAATTAGACTTATTTTTCGGTGCTGCTTCTGCCACGATTTTGGCAGGGAAGCTAAAATATGGAACTGTGTGTTTGAGAGGGCAGAGAAGAAGGCAGGGATAGAGAGAGGAAGCATTAGGGCAACTGTTCTGATTGAAACACTTCCAGCAGTGTTTCAAATGGATGAAATCCTGCATGAGCTAAGGGATCACTCTGTTGGGTTGAACTGTGGAAGATGGGATTACATTTTCAGCTATGTTAAAACCTTCCAGGGTCACCCTGACCGACTATTACCGGACCGGTTTCTGGTGGGCATGACTCAGCATTTCATGAGGAGTTACTCTGATCTCCTCATCAGGACATGCCATAGGCGCTGCGTGCACGCCATGGGGGGGATGGTAAGCATTTCTGTCACATATATAGCATGAGTCTGCAGCCATAGACAAGCTCTGTGCATGTATTTTTTATGGACAAGCCTTGTGCATTTCATACATGCATATGGGAACCAAATTCTTGGTTAGCTAATTAAGTGATAACAGTCACACAATGACTTGCAGATTCATATGAATTTATGAAAATTAATTAGAAATGATAAATAAAAAAAAAACAAATTCATTAATTGTTGTTGGTAATTTGTGATTGAGCAGGCAGCTCAGATTCCAATCAGAGATGACCCTGCTGCAAATGAAGCAGCACTGGATTTAGTGAGAAAGGACAAGTTAAGAGAGGTAAAAGCAGGACATGATGGGACTTGGGCAGCTCATCCAGGGCTAATCCCAGCCTGCATGGAAGTCTTCACCAACAACATGGGCAGCAACACCCCTAACCAAATCCAATCCATGAGGAGAGAAGATGCATCAAGCATCACTGAAGAAGACCTCTTGGAGAGGCCCCGAGGCGTTCGAACGCTGGAAGGCCTCCGCCTGAACACCCGAGTCGGGATCCAGTACTTGGCAGCATGGCTGACTGGGACAGGCTCAGTGCCTCTCTACAACCTCATGGAAGATGCTGCAACAGCTGAGATAAGCAGGGTGCAGAACTGGCAGTGGATCAAGTATGGAGTGGAGCTGGATGGAGATGGGCTTGGAGTGAGAGTTGGGAAGGAGCTGTTTGGGAGAGTGGTGGAGGAAGAAATGCAGAGGATTGAGAGAGAGGTTGGGAAAGAAAAGTTCAAGAAGGGAATGTACAAGGAAGCTTGCAAGCTCTTCACCAGGCAATGCACTGCTCAAACACTTGATGATTTTCTCACCCTAGATGCTTATAATCACATTGTCATGCATCATCCAAGGGGATCATCCAGGCTCTAAATTCAGATTATCTTAATTAATCACCTGGTTTCTCAATGTTTAGTTTAAGGATCAGTTCCTCTAGCAGTCTTTGCCAAATCAATAATAATGTACTCTCTCTCTCTCTTTTTTTTGAATTCTTTTAAATAAAATGTGTGATTTCAAACATTGGTTCAGCTTTCTCTCTTTTTTTTGAATTCTTTTAAATAATGAACATTTTTACAACATAAATTATAAAATTCGAATAAGTCAGTTATCAATCAATGGATGATCAATGGATCATGTGAACCCCTGTATCATTGGTTCATATATGATCCAATGTATTGAGGGTGGTTTCATGCAATCCAACTGGTACTTCTCTGTAAACATATTTTCCATCATGATATGTATGTCTTCTGTAATGAAATCGTCCATATTTAAAACATGCCCATTAGTTGTAACTTACATTGGAATTGAACAATCACTTATCCTAATCTAACCCATTAGTGCCCCCATTAATCATAAGTTATCACTTGATTATATATATAAAATGTGTGATTTCAAATATTGGTTCAGCTTTCTCTCTTTTTTTTGAATTCTTTTAAATAATGAACATTTTTACAACATAAATTATAAAATTCGAATAAGTACTCGTTGTGCATAAGTGGCAAGTTTGGACACAAAACAGTGGAGCTCATATATTTATATATAATATATCTTCTTCTTCTTTTTGCCATATATAATATATATCTTATGAACTTGAAAAAGGAAAAAAAACACTTGTTGTGTGGAGTGGCAAATTTGGACACAAACATTTTTAGAGCCCAAATTGGACTAAAAAACCATGATATTTTTAAAAATATGAGTTTTCAAATATTGATTTTAAGATCTAAAAACTTGTTTAGTATTTCCAAAACTATTTTAAAGATTTCAAAAAAGATTTCAAAAATCCATTCCCTTTTTCACAGTGGTCCACCATCGATTGGTACACGTCACAAGCGCGGACCAACCTTTACAATGGCTCCATCCTTCACCCTATGATCTTCATCATCACATTGCGCTGCGCTTGTAAAATTGAAAATAGTAGGGCCATGGGTTCCCTTTTTTTTTTTCATATGGAAAATACTTCCCTCCTTCCACTGTAAGTAGAAACTCTTACATTCTTGCCAATGGCAAGATGACATGTGTGCATAAGTTTTTCTTATTGTGTTTTTTATGAATTATTTTTGCACATGTGTCAAATAATGACTTGCATGGAATTGGGAGTATCTCCTTCCAATCGTGATTCCTAAGGAAAAAGGAGTATCTCTTTCCACGGAAGGAGGGAAGCAGTATTTATTTCATATGGGTATTTCAGAAACACCTTATTTCAAACAGTGACACATCCTAATCGATGGTGGACCAGAGAGAGAGAGAGAGAGAGATAGGAGATGGAGAAGACATAAAGATAAGAAGGGGAATGCTAGCAACCTTCTTTCTAATATTATCTTTTGGACCTTCTCACTTTCCTTCATGACAGGTGTCATTTTATTTTCACTTAAAACAATATCATTAATAGATCAAACGACCTAACTTTCGTTTTCCATATTTACTCTTATTTGATGTATTGACTTTACTTTAATTTTTTTTTTTTTTTTACCTAATTTTCGTTTTCCATATTTACTCTTATTTGTTGTATTGACTTTACTTTAATTTATTATTATTTTTTTACAACTTTCTTAATACTTTGTAAAAAATTATTATATTAATTTATTAAATATTAAAAAATTCAGAATAAAAAACCTATCTTAAGTCGTCCCCACCTTTTTCCCCATAGCCCAGCACCTCCATCTTCCCCACCATCTCCTTAGCGCCACCCATCTCCACCCCACCCTCTCCTCACCAACTCCCCTTACTCCTTCCCTTCTCTTTCCCTCTTTTTCAATCTTCCCCCAATCCCTCTTCAAACAAAACCAAGCCCCTCCAAGTTTGGGTTTGAGGACCATCACTAAGCATCAACAACAACAACAACAACAACCCAGCTCAAATTTAAAAATCTCACCTTCGGGTGTGAAGGTCTGGCTCTCTCAAAATGATGAGAGGGAGGGTTGGATTTGGGGCTGCAAGTCTGTGATTATTTGAAGAGAGAGAAATTGTTTTAAAAAGTTAAATGAAGTGAAGTAAACATTAAAGTCAACACATATCACGAGGAAAGAAAAGAACAGGTAGGTTGTTTGATGTATTAACGACATTTTTTAAGTGTAAAGAAAATAACACATATCATAAAGAAAAGAGATAAAATTAAAAAGAAAAGATTAGAAAGAAGATTGCAAACCATCGGGTGAGGGGAAAGCTCACTTTTTATAATTTAAAAAATGAGCCTTTTGATTTGTTTTTAAGTTTAATTTTTTTTAAATGAAATTTAAACTAAAAAATTATTTAAACCAAACACTTATAATTGCTTGCATAAATCTTTTATATAAACAAGTACTAGATAAAGTCAACACATATCATGAGGAAAGAAAAGAACAGGAAGGTTGTTTGATGTATTAATGACATTTTTTAAGTGTAAAGAAAATAACACATATCATGAGGAAAAGAGATAAAATTAAAAAGAAAAGATCAGAAAGAAGATTGCAAACCATCCAGATAAGGGAGAGGGGAAAGCTCACTTTTTATAATTTAAAAAATGAGCCTTTTGATTTGTTTTAAAGTTTAATTTTTTTAAAATGAAATTTAAACTAAAAAATTATTTAAACCAAACACTTATAATTGCTTGCATAAATCTTTTATATAAACAAGTACTAGAAGTACGAAGGAGTAGTAAGACTTGGTGTCCGAAAATTGGGTCGGTCGGCCATAGATATATAGACAGCTATAGGAATCGTGTACCTTTGGAAAGGACCAATGACTGTAGTATATGTGAAACACGACACGCCTACTGCATGCAGAGAGAATGATGCCGATAGGGTTACGTGGTGCAATAAAGTGAGAGAAAAGAGGATGAACAGATCGACTTTCATCCCATCCCAACAACAGCAGATCGTAAAAGATAGATAAGCTCAAAACCATTCAAAATTAAACGCACACATATCCAATTC